CCTCCCAGGATCAGCAGTTTTGCTCTTGAGGTGTTTAGCAAGCTGATTTACTGTGCATGTGCACATTCTTAAATGTCCTTATCCCGCCAACCCCACATCTTGCAGCATCCCTGTGTTAGATGGTGGAGCTTCCTATTTCCTTTTTGTGCCACAACACCAATTCCTAACCAGTCTCCCAGCAGGCTCCAAGTGAAGAAAACCCTCCCAAATAACATATGTTCAGACCCTGCCATCTGAAAGTTTGGGGAAAATTCTGAAGGCACAAAAATCTAAAAGGCATATTTTTAATTTTCCTTAAAGATCTGAAGGAAGAAATTTTATAAGCACTTCATGTGAGGTGCTGCTAAACAAGGAGGTAGTTAAAATAACATCTAATCAGTTAGAAAAACTGTAATTCCTTCCAAAATTAATTGAAGTCTTAAGAGTTGAAGGAAATTGGTAGAATGAAAGCAACCACAGACACGAACCAGAGATTTTCATTGTCTGAATATGGATCTGGATTCTCTCTGCTCCTTCTGGAAACTCCTCAGTTTGGGAGGCACCTGCTGTTTCACACCGGCCACTGTTCCTGAAAATACAACTGAAATTCAACTCCACTTGCAGCCTCATTCCTTGAGCACACAGTTTGTTACCACAGCTTAGAAAAGCAGGATGGCAAACTAGTTTGGGAAAAAAATCAATTTGCCATCAGATTAGAAATCAACTGTAAACATGTTGAAGAATTCTTTTTTTTTTTTTTTTTCACTACTGCTCTGCCTTTTCTTCACAATCTGTTGTGGTGTCAGACTTATTTTGATAATACTTGTAGAACTTGTCATATTAACAAAGTTATCAAGCAGAGCAAGCACTTGCACAGCAACAGCTGTAGTCCAGTAAAAGTCAAAATAACTGGCCATGGGTATTTGAAAAAGAACATCTACATTGTAGTTCCCCAAATCCAAAATATCCTCAGTACTCTCCAGAGTACTTGTAGTTCTATTTAAATACTGCCCTTAAACCTGGAACAATCTGCTCCAAACTTTGAAACTGAGGATAAAGATAAAAGGAAAAAAAAAAACAAAATTTTAAAAAAAAAAATAAGAATTTTTTTTTTTTTTGCTGTGATAGTGTCACTCAACTATTTCTGCCTCTGTGGAAGTGGTTCATAGAAAAGGCTCCACATTAAATCCAATACAATGATGGAATTTATTTAGTGTTATATAACAAACTCAGAAATACTTGTTTAAAAACAAAATAAACCCCATAATCCACTGAGACTGTAAATTGGTGGGGTTGGAACAATCTTTTCATTATTCTTGTCCACAGAGCTCAATACAATGAGGCCTCAGTTCTTTGCTAATGTCTCTAGGTGTTAACACAATGCTATTAAATCTACTCAATGGCCAAAGATGCAGCCAGTGGATTTATGTGTCCCATTCCTTGGGAGACGTGCAAATCCCACAGAATGGTTTAATGGCCGGATTTTTCAGCTGCAATGTCTGATTTTGCACGTACATCAGATAATATGCATCTATTTATGCAAATTGCTGCCGGATTTATAAGCACAAAACACTCGTGCCTGGGAATTCCTATTTGTGGCCTTGAGCTGAAGGAAAGGATGGGATTTGGGAGCCAGGGCCCGGCTGTAGAAGAGCAGGAGCCACACTCTGCTTGAAACCACTGCTTTCAGTTTTCTGTGAAACTGAGTGAAGTTTCACTTTCTGACCCTGTGTTGATCTGCCTTTATTTTTACACCAGAAATTTGCTAGTTTAGTGGAGTTAGTTTCCTCTGCTACTGATGTGGATGTGGATTAGGCCTGACAAGCCTATTTTCCTCTAAAAGAAGCAGGGCCAGGTTCAGGCTGGTTCACAGATACGGTTGAGGAGGCAATCCTGGCACTACCCATTTCTCTACCCTGTCCTGAGTTTTTCATCTCTGGATATATCAGTTTTTTCCTCCCCAGTATGTAATTTTTTGTAGATTTGCTACTACTCCCTCATGCCATGTTTCTTTCCCTCGCAGCCTGGTCTCTGCTCTCCTCACATGACACACTCATGAACCCCTGGACATAGATCTTTTTCTGTGAACACACATTTTTCTCATGGAATGCACTTAGTTTTCACCTGGCCATGTTAGTTTTTTGCCCACTAAGCACATTTCCAGGGCTGTGGTTATTTTCCCCTGGATATGCTGCTTGCTCCCTTGTGGGCACATGTAAAGAGGGCTAGAGGAAATCACCTTAGGTTGAGACAGGAGAGATTGAGATTATATATGGGGGAAAGTTTCACTTTTATGGTGGTCAGGCATTGGAATGGGTTGCCAGGAGGTGGTGGAATCACCATCTCTGGAGGTGTTTCAGAGCTGTCTGGATCTGGTGCTGGGTGATGGTTTGGGGGTGACAGTGGCACTGCTGGGTCGGTGGTTGGACATGATGATCAGGGAATCACCGAACCTGAGCTGGAAGGGGCACAGATCTTCAAACCCGTGGAATGGTGGGCATCAAACCACAGCCTTGGCATCATCAGCAGCGTGCTCTGTGATGTGAACTCACGATCTTCCTGCATGTGCCGGCTGGTTTGGGCTTCCTTCCCAGGAACGCACCAGATTTTCGCGACAATTTGGACGCGTAAGTTTCTTCTCCGGACAGACGAGGCTCC